CTTGTTTTCTCTGTACAAATTTGATTACTAACAATGGTGATACTGTTGGGTTCTTGAGATCTCGGGTTTGACAGATGGTGTGAATATGGGGTGTACACACTAGTCAATATAAAATTGAATCTTTAATATGGTGCATCTGCTAATGCTTATTTTAGTATCTTAGACTTCATACATGAGACAGGGTTACATCCATTTTGATTTTATAACCATTATACAGTACTTTCATTGACACTAAGGTCTAGCTGAAAGCTACGGGTTTAACACAAGAGTCATTATTGATATCTCTTGCTAATTTTTCTGATCAGGGTTTAAGAAAAAGTTTACACAAGGATTGTATTGCAAGAAAGGAACCAGCTGAGGTAGGTTTTCTTTAACTCACAGTATCTCTATCAAATTTGAGATGTTCTTAATTCTTCTGCTCAGTTGTTGATTCATAACACAAAGCCCCTATTATCTGTTGTGATTTTTCGCAGTGTCTCTTTCCTAAAGAAATTATTAAAAACATTGCCACCCCGGTGTTCCTCCTCCACTCAGCTTATGATTTTTGGCAGGTAAGTTTCCTCAGAACCCAAGTTTCATTTGCACGTCACCAGAATTTGATTTCACATTCATTGTTTTTATTTTCGTAATTGGATGATCATTAGATACAAAATATCTTGATACCTGAAGGATCAGATCCGTATCACTACTGGCAAAAGTGCAGACTGGACATTCATAATTGCAATGCTACCCAGGTTGAAATACTGCAAGGTAATTGGGTATGATTCTCATGACACAATACGTATTGCCTGACAGTTCAGTAAATGACTTACAGCTAAAATTGGCCTCAGTCTATGTAGCAAGGGATTATATGGCCCACTCTTCAAGGAATACCATCTCAATGGTCTTATAATTGTTAGCTAAAGTACATTGCTGATTGCCACCAGCCATTTGTAGACTTGTGTGGACTATAAACCAGCATATTTCCATCCAGCCCGCCAGAGGAAGTTTACGGTATTATGTTACATTTAAACTAGAATTCTTAGGGTCACTGAACCAGAGAAAATTTCGGTGAAGATAACCCAGTTATAGAGTTTTTGGACCATAAACCATCATTTTAAACAGCTTCCAGTTGCATTCAGGGGGCACTACTGGGGTCCTCTTTTTAGTTTTTTTTTTTAGCAAGGAAATATCTCGGGGAACTGATTGGTATTCCCAAACCCATGTAGCACACATGTTTTTTGCATATACAATGATCCACCATTGGTTCATCTTATGTGTACTTGTATTAACTGGTTTGAGACCTCGTCATTTGGAAAATAAGATTCATGCATTGGATCCTAAGTTTACTTCTAAACATAATATTGTGGCAAATTACCTTGGCAACTTTTTTTCGTACAGGTTACCGCAGATCTCTTTTGAAGGCGCTAAAAGAATTCCAGAAAAATAAGGAAGGAGGAATGTTTATAAGTTCATGCTTTATTCATTGCCAGGCATGGATGACTGAGACATGGCATGCTCCTACTTCTCCACGAATAAACAATAAGGTGAGGAGTTTCTTATCATCGTATTTGAATGCTGAGATAAGATAAGGGTTTCTTGTTAACTAGAATATTATTTCAGAAAGTATTTCATCCCTGCAGTACGTTTCTATGTGATTTCTAGAGGGAGAGAGCCTCAGTCATCTCTCTCCCCTCTCCCCAACCCCTGCCCCCTACGTGGGCGTCCTTGTGCTAAATCATGTTATACAATCTACGTGTTTGTCATGTGATTTTACCTACTAAAGCTGAGTGCCGTAAGCCCAGCATCATGGCATCAAATGTGTGTAATTAATTTATTTATCGGGTTTCTGTAATTTTCGTAACTAGACTCGATATCTAACTGTTTGTCTTTGTTGTTCCTGATAGACAATTGCAGAGTCCGTTGGCGATTGGTACTTTAATCGAAATGCATCAAAGAAAATTGACTGCCCGTTTCTATGCAATCCTACCTGCTATCATGTAAATTTCACACACGGTTGATTGAACTCAAGAACACAAGTTTTTAGCGGGTTATTCCCAACTGTAGATCCTTACTTCCTCAGTATCCCCTGGTGGAAATACTCTCCTTGTCCAGTGCATGATCCTATTTTTGTAGATATCGAGCATGAAGGTGTTTTTAGAAGAAAACAGTTTATATTGTTGTCACTTCTTTACATATAGGAGACAGTCATTGTTAAATTTTGTATATTACATTGCAGAGTACAAATTAACCAAATGAAAGGCCTTTGCTTGCAATGTAGCGATCATTTTGAAACAGCTCAATGCTCAAGGATGTGTGTGTATGCTAATTGCTATGATTATCTTCTGTACACCGTACCAGAAACCAATTATAAATACTGCACCCCCCAATTATAAACCCAATTTAGTGCTTGAAACTTGCAAATCATGAGATAATTATAGATACGTGATTTCAAGATCTCCTCTCACCACTCTACAAATCTCATGTCACTTGAGTTAAGGCTTATGAGCCATATATTTTCGATCACAGTATATCATACATGTTACATGTAGATGGTTGTAGATACCAAGCCATAACATTTCTTCTGTAAAAATAATGCTAACTTGTGAAACATGAAGCATGCAATGACTTTCATATAGATCTTTTTTTTTTTGGGTCAAGACTTTCATAGAGATCAATGGTTAAAAGTTATCTCGTGTGGTACACTTCAATTATGTTTGATGACTCTGATTAAATTGGATTATGAAGTAGAATTTCATTGCATTGGATTGGAAATGATTACACTAATACAATGATGTGTTTGGAAATGTGTTATTGCATGGCTTAGTAGGATTAGACATAATCCAATCCAACTTAACCCGACTTTTTAGTAGGATTAATCCTACTACATTTGGCCTTTGTAGAATTAAACATAATCCAATTCATGTTGTTTACGAGTGGAAGTCAACTTGCCAAGTGGGTCATTTTTCTTTTATTGCATAAAACAAATTTTTTTAATCAAAATAATGCTACCCTTTTTTGTTTTTGTTTTCTTAATAGCAATGCTACCTTATTCTATAAACAATGCGGCTGATTTTTTCCGGGAAAAAAAAAAAAGAAAAAAAAAAATTGTTGTCTTGTTGAAGATTGGGAATTGGTGTTTTTAAGTGTCTCCAGTAGACTGCGTGAGCACTGAGCCTATGAGCCAATTGATGTTGGGGTCAATGGCAAATCCTAGGCTTCGCAGCCTGCTATGGTGGAGACGGTGGGCCAGAAAGGACGGGGCAATCGCGGCCGTCAGATTTACCGTTATTGCCTTCGCTCTCACTCTCCTCTCCAACTCTTGGCGCGATGAACCAGACTCCGAAATCACCCGCCCATTTAATCCCATCACCGCCTCCGATTTGGTCAATTAATCCTGTTGCAAAACGCTAAAGCTAGAGGCGCCCGTACTCAATCTCATCCCCTCAACTTGCCACCTAAATTTCGATTCATTTCTGGTTTAAATTCATTGGTTTGCAGTATGTTTTGATGGAAGTGCGCCTGGCTACCATTTCAATAAGGGCTTTGGATCTGGAGCTAACAATTGGCTGCTTCACATTGATGTCTTATAGTTTCATTCAATTTCAGTGCATTTACATGTTCTAGTTGATATGTTTGCTAAGAAAGCAAAAATAGGTAATGAGTTTTGGGTTTTGGGTTGAAAATTGAAATGCAGGGTGGAGGTTGGTGCAATACAATAGAATCTTGTTCATGGCGTAAAGGGACCCCATTAGGGCTTCCAAATACATGGACCGTCGAGTTCCCTTTTCTGGGTACTTCAATTTGCCTCAGCTAATATGTCAAAATCCAATTTTTAACCAGCTGATTGATGAATTTCAAATCAATTTTTGGAGCATTATCTAGGATTCTTTAACTGGAACAAAGTCAAAATCCGGTACTGTGATGGCGCGTCCTTAGCTGGCCAACCAGAAATGAGTTGAAGGTAAATTTATGTTTGGAGATTTTCTGCCTTGTTTCGGAACCGGTTATAATAATTTTACAAATGGAAGAATATTATTGTTGAGGAATTATATGGAAGAAAGTTGCGTGTTATTCACATTGTCTGTTCCTCCATTTCCTAGAATGGATCAGCAATTTTCTTTATTGGCCAGCTCATTTGGAAGCAGTTATGGATGAACTCTTGTCAGCTGGCTTGTGAACAGCGAAACAGGTATCTCTGTGGTTACTCCAATTAAGCTCTGCTGTTTATAATCATGATCTGTAAGTTTACAGATGTTAAACATCAAGAAAATTTTATGCATGTACGTGGTTTGATGGTTATGATTTATGACTACACAAGTTGTGGTTTCGTTAATTCTATAAGGATATGATTTGTCCAATATTCGTAATAAACTTCTGCAGAGCAAGACTTTGTTTCCTGCATGCACATCTTTTTAATGCTCTCTCATAAATCTATTTTCCTGCATCCAGATTTTATCAAAGAGTGGTCCATTTCTGCTAATATGTATGAGTGACAATCTTACAGGCCCTTCTTTCGGGGTGCTTTGCTGGTGGGTTAGCGACTCTTATACATTGTGATGACTTTCGAGGCCTTTTGCCTGAGGATGCAACTGTCAAATGTCTTGCTGATGCAGGTTTTTTTCTTGATGAGTATGTTTTATGTGTACTAGTGCCTTCTGTACCAACATTTGTTTTAGCTAATCTATTCAGTGTGGAGTCTTTGATCATATTTCTCAGGTGTACTCTTCAAGGACAATGTTTTCTATTTTTATCTAATATCTCGTAAATCTTAAATTTCATGAATGATACTGAAGTTTCCTGATTCTACTATCTCAAATTCTTACATCAGGAAATAAGACCTGTCAAAATGGAATACCTATCATACTGTTCCCTTTTCAAGCTACAGTAGGAACGTTGAAAAGTCTGGCATGCGTTTAGTAACTAGTTTCTGTACATGTATGATGTTTTTCCATTTGTTTTCACATAAGGCATCCTATGTGCTCTAGATAGTGCATAAACAAGGAGGAAAAGAAATTTTTGAGCCACTTCTTGTTTCCTACTTTTCAGGAAAGATGTTCTCCAACAACGGACCATGAGATCTTTCTATCATGATGTTGTCATCCTTCAGGTTATACTATGATCTTACCGGTACTAGTTTATGTAATCTTTAGCTAGGTTATATTCATCCTTTTTTTTTTCTGTATAAAATAATTCTACCAAATAGTGATACTGTAAAGTCCAGCATATGATTATGGGATTTAGAAAACTAGTGCATGTGTATTTATATTTTTGATAGGTGCATCTGCTAGTTCTTATTTGAGGGTCTGATACATCATATTTGAGACATGATATTATCCATCTTCAGTTTATCTATATCACCTATATGAAAACAATATGTTTGGCATGCAAGGCTATATGAATCGTTAAACAGTACCTTTATTGACACTAAGGTCTAGCTGAAAGCTGTACGTTTAGCCCAATAACCATTATTGATATCTCTTGCTTATTTTTGGATCATGCTGCCAGGGTTTAGCAAAGAGTTTGCACAAGGATTGTGCTACAAGAATGGAACCCTCTAAGGTAGGTGCTCTTTTCCTATTCTGTATAGGGTACCACTGAGCAAATTTGATAGGTTTCTTCGTATTTCCTATTGTTTGTTGTGAACTTCTACGACAGTGTCTCTTTCCTGAGGAAATCATTAAAAACATTAACACCCCAGTGTTCCTAGTCAACCCCGCCTACGATTTTTGGCATGTAATTTTCCTCAGAGCTTCATTTGCTTAATTGATTGCACATTCCTTTTCTCATTTTCTAATTGGATATTATTAGATACAATTGATACCTGAATCATCAGATCCACATGGCTATTGGAAAAGGTGCAAATTGAACATTTTCAATTGCAATCCTAGCCAGGTTGAAATACTACAAGGTAATTGGATATGCATCTTGTGACCCAATATGTATTGCCTGACAGTCTAGGAAAATCACATACACCTAATGCTGGTTTGAGTCTATATATATTTTTTAAGACTATAAACCAGCGTTTTTGCAGCCTGCAAGTCAGCAGGAAGTTTGGGTCTTCTCATCATGTCACATTTAAACTACTCTATAAAATTCTCACTTAAAATAGGATTCTCAAGGAAATTGTTTTATGAAACAGCTCACTGGAACAATCTGGTCATAGATTTTGTGGACCATTACAGTTGCAAGTTGGAAACAGTGGGCATTGGTAATGTAATCTTATTAGGTCATCTTTTAGCAAGGAAATATCTTGTGGGGCTTACAGGCATTTCCGAACCCATGTAGCACACACATGTATTTCGACAGACAAAAATGATATCTTACATGTAGTTTTAGCTTCACTAGCTTGAGGCTTCTTGGGAAATGAAAAACAGGATTCAATGTATTGGTCCCTGTAATTGACTGTATAATAAATTGTAATTGTAAAAAGAATATTGTGGTAATTAACTTACCAACTTATTTCATACAGGTTTCTGAGGTTCGATGTTGAAGGCGCTGAATGAATTCCAAAAAAATAAGGAGGGAGGAATGTTTATAAATTCATGTTTTATTTTTTGCCAGACATGGATAACTGAGACATGGCATTCACCCAATTCTCCACGAATAAACAATAAGGTGAGGAAAGTTTCATGATCTTATTTGAATGTGGAGAGACCCTCAGTGATCTCTAAATCCCTCTCCCTCCCCCTGTGGGTAGTGTTCAGTGTTTAGCTCTGTTCATAAGCTTAATGCTCATGCTTCATACTTGCATATGATTACGATATACATATCGGAGTTCTAGTCAGCGACTTTAGCGCCAGCATTGAAACTCTTCAATGGTGCACGCAAAAAATTGGATGTTTAGGGAAGCAATATTTTATTTCATCCTGTAAGATAAATAATGTTATACATCTTTCTGTCATGTAATGTTGCTGTTCATGTATTTTAGGCGTTCACAGTAGCAACTGAAAGCCTAAGACTGTTATCTGACTAATTTGAACTTTGATAGAAAATCGCAGATTCTGTGGGGGATTGGTACTTTAGTCGGAATGTCGTAAAGCAAATTGACTGCCCATTTCCATGCAATCCCACTATCATATGAATTTCACTGTTTTCTCAGGAGGCTGATTGAACTCAAGGAGGCATCCAACTTTTTAGTGGGTTATTCATTGTAGACATTGAGAATGAAACAGGGGAAACACATTGCAACAAATTGGAAAGATCGGGGTATCTAATTGTAAAAATTGAGAGGATATGGGCAAACACGCCTTACGAGTGAAACCACATAATACCAAACTGGAATTGACCCTATATTATATAACATGATCCCATCTTTACCTAGAGGAGTAACACTATTAACCAGATGAAGGGTCTCTTCCTTTCAATGTAGGGATAGATTTTTATTTATTTTCGGGTCAATACTGTACTTTTTTAATTGTATGATTTTTTTTCCTTTTTATTTATTTTGTCTTAGTTTTTGGTTTTTATATTTCATTGTGGGTAGGGTACAAAAGGTTTAATTCTTTTAAGACATTGACATTACAAAGATTATGGGGGAAAAAATTGTATAAATGAAAGAACGAATGGCAAAATCAGCCAACCCTTGTGTGAATGTATTTTCTATTTGCAGTTTTTTAATTTATTTTTCCCCAAATGAAGTTGTTTGAGACAAAAAACAAAGAGGTCTGATTGACTTGCAAATGCGTCAACATTATGAAGCTATATTCAGATGTCAATTTGCATGCATGTTACACATGTTTTGCAACACGACAAAACTTTTAAGATTTTGATTTTTCTTCTCATATATATTGCAAAACATGTGGTTTACATAGACGCGCTTGGACAACGAAATTTAATAACGGGGTCCCCGTATGCCCCAATTATTGGAAGGACCAATTGATGTATTGGCTTGGCTGGTTGCTCAATTTCCATGTTGTAGAAAGAAAGAAGCTCCAACACAAAGATAACCTTCTCGTGATATATACAGAGGAACTTTCTTGCCTGCCAACTAACACATTAAAGAACTCTACACTTTCCAAGGTTACAACAACATTGCAACAAATTGGAAAGATCGGGGTATTTAATTGTAAAAATTGAGAGGATATGAGCAAACATGTCTTACGAGTGAAACCACAGGATACCAAACTAGAATTCACCCTATATTATATAACACGATCACTTCTTTACCTAGAGGAGAAACACTATTAACCAGATGAAGGGTCTCTTCCTTTCAATGTAGGGATGGATTTTTATTTATTTTTGGGTCAATACTGTACTTTTTTAATTCTATGATTCTTTTTCCTTTTTATTTATTTTGTCTTAGTTTTTTGTTTTTATATTTCATTGTGGGTAGGGTACAAAAGGTTTAAACCTGCATTGTCTTCACAGTTTCCTTTAATTCTTTTAAGACATTGACATTACAAATCAGCTGTCTCCAGTGGAGCCTAATGGGTATGTTTACAAAAATTATGGGGGAAATTTTTTGTAGAAATGAAAGAATGAATGGCAAAATCAGCCAACCCTTGTGTGAATGTATTTTCTAATGAAGGTTTTTAATTTATTTTTCCCCTAATGAAGTTATTTCAGACCAAACACAAAGAGGTCTGATTGACTTGCTAATGAACACGACAAAACTTTTAAGATTTTGATTTTTCTTTTACAAAGAGCGCACTTTTTTTTTGTCAATGTAATTCTATTCAAATAAATTGAAAATGATTACAAAAGGTGGAGAACCACGAGCTAAAGAAAAACAGAACACTAGCAAAACAAACAAACAAAGAGCCAAAACAGTAAAGTACATAACAGACAAAGTGAAGGATTTTGATTTTTCTTCTCATATATATTGCAAAACATGTGGTTTACATAAACGCGCTTGGACAACAAAATTTAATAACCGGGGTCCCATATGCCCCAATTATTGGAAGGACCAATTTATATATTGGCTGGTTGCTCCATTTCCATGCTGTAGAAAGAAAGAAGCTCCAACACTAAGATAACCTTCTCGTGGTATATACAGAAGAACTTTCCAAGGTTACAACAACAATCAACAACTCAACACAAAACATGTGGTTTACATAAACGCACTTAGTCAACAAAATTTAATAACGTGGGTCCCCATATGCCCAATCATTGGAAGGACCAATTGATATATTGGAGCCACTCTTGGCTGATTGCTCCATACTCCTTGTTGAGCAATAATCTCAGAGGATAAACAAGTATCCTAAACAAGCTTCAGTTATGGAGAGGTCTGATCAAGAACAAGAGCCATCTGACTCTCAAAAGTAAGTTGTTTTAACTCTAAAATAATCAAATGCAATTGAGCATCTATCTCTGTTTGTCTCGCAATGAACATTAATTAATTACCATATATTAATATATATCTGCATGAATAATTATTGTTCAGAACGCCAGAAAAACAGATCGCAGAGATTGCATCTTGGAAACCTGCCATGAAATGGGATACGAAATTTGTAATATGCTATATTTTATCAGTGTCACTGGATCCTTTGTTACTCTACAGTCTTATCCTCAACGACGATAGGAAGTGTGTCGTAGTGGACACAAAATTGAAAATAATAGCTATTGTTTTGCGATCATTGGCAGATCTCTCCTACATAGGGCCCATTATTTGTGAGATTCCTGATATAACAAAACGACTGAGACTGAGACTGAGTTTTATGAGATTGAGACTAGCATTCAGACGTCTTAATGGGGAGGAAGTTGACAATTGTTATGCCTGGAAGGTAGAGACGTTTGAGATTGTGAAAATTCTGACGATAGCTTTCTGGAGGCGGTTAAGCATCCCAATGGCCATTTTAGCTGCTCTTCCTGTTCCGCAAGTAAGAAACCATTTCCTAATTATGTATAATTTAATCAATGCTTTCCTCTCCTCCTAATAATAATATCTATAAGTTGAGCTTGAGACTAGAAACTTATGAATACTATATATGTATATGTGGCTGTGTGAGGGTGGAATGATTTTTTCTTGTCAAATACGACCCTTTTAGATATATACATCAGTCTTTCCAATAAATTGTCCAAGAATTTCCACTCCTATACCAACATACCACTCCCCATCCTATAATCCTATTCCATTACAATTCCAGAGCAACCTTTGTCCAAAAAATAAAATAAATTAATCCAGAGCAATACCGCACCCCACCCAAACCGATTGCACAACCCCTTCCTTACTCCTCATGATTTATTCACATAATAATAAATAAAACACACAATATAAAACATAAATTGATCTCATTTCCCCAATGAACTCTTCTGCGCCTCAAGCTCGAGAGCAGACTGAGCCAAGCACCAAACTCTTCGTCTCTGGTATATCCCCTTTTTTCCATTTTTTACCTTTTATTTTCTTTCATAGTTCCTCCATTTCTTTAGTGGGTCATTGTCAGGGCCAACTTTGAGAATTTGAGAGCCTTGTGTGAAACTTAAACTCAGGGCCCTCACATTATTTAACACGAAAATACTATAAAAAATCGACATTTTGGTTTATTTTGCTATATGTTGTAAAAAGCTGGTACTTTGTGAGGTAATTCAATGATTTTGGAATTTTCGAGTTTGTGGTTGCCGAGAAGATGAAGAAATTGGGATATGAAATCATACTTCTTTTTCTTTTTTAATGACTTGGGCAAACTAGAAACCGAAGAACCGCTCAATTGATTGGTTTTGTTACTCCTGTTATAATTATTTTTCCTTTTTAATGACTTAGGTTCTCACATTGCAATGTACATGTGTGCAGATAGCAATTTTAGTTTTCTTTCCAAAGCTGAGGGCCTCGAGAGCTTTGAACAGAATGAGGATTATGAATTCACTTATTCTGTTGCAATATGTGCCACGAATTTATCTAATATACAGAGACTGCATAAATCTTAACAAGAAGAAACTCGACAATTATATTTCTGACATAAAGCGTAAAGCATGGGTCCCATGGCTTCTCAATTTCATCCTATATATCCTTGCTAGTCATGTAAGTTTCTATTTGATGTCAATTTAAAATTTAATTGTCATCTTTAAATAAAATAATTTTTTTTTCTTCATTATTGTCCGGGTTAGATTGAATTTTGATTTTAGTTCTCTAATTAGATACATTTTTTTTTTATAAATATAGACGCGAATACAAAAGTGTAAGTACATTAATATACCTATAAATATGAATTTAAATTTACTTATAATTTTGTACCT